GAGAACCCTGTCCTGCCCCATGGCCTCCAGCATGGGGGCTGAGCTGTGATCTTCGCTCTCTGTTGCTCACTATGTCCCCCAAACACACCCTTGGGAATCAGCCTGCAGGTTCCTACCCTTACTCTCTGCAAAGCTGTATCTGTGAGAATCCTGCTGTGCCCATTTGGGCTGGAGCTGATGGCTGACCTTCACTCAGCACTGCCTTGCTCTCTCTGATATCTTGGTGAGTAATTGCTGGCAGTGGTAAATGATTTACTCTATGCACAACACCGTCTGCAGGAGAAGCACATCCCTTGTTATATTGAAGAGAAAAATACAGCTGTTGAGCCCAAAAGATTATTAACTGATCTAATTATTGGCATAATAAAAAACTAAAAGTAAGGATAGTGGTGGTGAAAGAGGTATACAGTTCCTTTTTTCCTGTGGTAAAAGAAGAATTTGAAGCAGAGGTTTAGATTTTCATAATAACCACAGTAACTATGTTCACAGCTGAAAGTAACATCCATTTGACAGAGGAGCATGATCCAAAATGCCCAGATAGAATCAGGCGTTTCCAGTAATGTAGTAAAGCAAACCTTCAGTTGGGTTTTCCAATTGGGTTTTCATGTAATTAAATACTGGGCATCTTTTCCTCACGATCATAGCACTACGTGCTTTTCATGCACGTATTTTTGCAGCCCCAAGACTACTACCATCTGGTCCCTGTGTTTGTGCTGGCTACACAAGCTGGAGGTGACAGAAACTACATATGCTGCTGGAGCTGCCTATTTTGCTTGCAGGAGGCACTGGTTTATTGGTTTTCTAGCTTTTCTCACTATTAAATCAAAGTAACGTTGGAACTGAATGCAGATGACTTCTCTGTGCTTTAGGTCCTTGGTCACATGAAAGGAAGTCTTCGGTGTGTTATCTTTTTACTTCAGATGGATTTCCCAGTCGTTTTTTTTCTTTTTCTTGCATGTCATCTTTGTAGCATGTTGGTATACAGCCTCCTCATAGGGAATGACATTTCCATCAATAGTACCCAGAAATGCAAGGAATTCTAAGGGGAATTTTCACCTTAAGGTATTCCCGCTCTGCAAATGTAATGCTGTGCTTAACTGCATGCATTGCTGGTGTGTAGAGGGTAGTGCCACTAGCAGGCAAGATGTGAAGCACAATGAGGTAAATAGGAGGACATCCTTGGATCTCCATTGACAAAGCCCCATGTTTACAACTAAGAGGGGACTCATCTGCCTCCTCATGCAGTCACCAGGTAGTGCTGGGCATGCCATGAGGACTGTTGACGCCAAAGGAGGGATTTGGTGGGCTTGGTATGGCATGATACCGTGGGGTCATACTGCCCCAGCACCCCAGTGGGCTTCTTGCCTCTCTGGATATCACTGCAGGGTATGCCCTGTTTTAGGAAATCCATTAATGCAATTAATAAACAGCAACCAGCTATATGTGCCTTTCTGAACTGGGGAAACTCTCTAATGTCTGACCTTCTAACAAAGTGAGCAATTTTCTGAGCTGTGTGTCCTTGCTATATTTCTCGCAAAATTGATGAAATTTAACCTCACTTCTCTTCCAGCAATAGACAACAGCTCCTATGTTTTCTGCTAAAGCAAACAGCTTCTGTACCTACTTCTGAGGTGACTTCAGTGCTGGCAATGAGCTGCTGGAAAAATGTCTCTCAGCACTGAGCACACGAAGTTCTCTCTACAGCCAAAAAACTTAATTCTTCCCTCTCCTCTTTGCAAAAATTACATATTGACATATCAAACATGCAATCTAGTAGTTCAAGCAAAAATTATCAATTTGGAATGAAATCTTAATGGTGGGCATGGAAATGAATGAAATGAATGGAATGGAATGAATGAATGAAGGGAATGGAATGAATGAAGAAAACTATTTTGGCTGCAGTGTGGTGTCGATGATCTGATAGGATGTGAAAAGGACCAAGTTGTGGTAATCAAGGATTCAAAAATGATAAAAAAAAAACTGGTAACAATTCAAATTGGTATCACAGAAGAAGGGTGCCAGGAACTGAACGGTGGGAGAGGAGTTAGAAACAAAAACTATACACACAAACATATACATGTGCACAGATACCACAGAATCACAGTATCACAGAATCACAGAATCACCAAGGTTGGAAAAGACCCACAAGATCATCAGTCCAACCATCCACCCATCACCAATAGTACTCACTAAACCGTGTCCCTCAACACAACGTCAAAACGTTCCTTGAACGCCTCCAGGGTTGGTGACTCCACCACCTCCCTGGGCAACCCATTCCAGTGCTTCAACACTCTTTCAGAGAAGTAGTATTTCCTAATGTCCAGCCTGAATTTCCCCTGGCGCAGCTTGAAGCCATTCCCTCTAGTTCTATCATTAGTTACACGGGAGAAGAGGCCGACCCTCAGCTCACTACAACCTCCCTTCAGGAAGTTATAGAGAGCAATAATGTCTGCCCTGAGCCTCCTCTTCTCCAGACCGAACAATCTCAGCTCCTTCAGCCGCTTCTCATAAAGCTCAGGCTCAACCTGGCCATTAGGGTAAAAAGGAACAAGAAATTCTTTTACAAATATATCATCATATAAGAGGAGGACTAAGGAGAATCTCCATTCTTTACTGGATGAGGCTGGGAATGTGCCCACTGAGGATAAGCAAAAGGCAGAGATATGTGTACATACATATGTATAGGCATATATATATGTATTGCAATCTCAGTATGCCAGAATCAAAAGGCCATTAAATCTTCCAGATAGGTGACTTAAAGACAGATTAGATTTTAAAATTAGCCCTTCATTATTTTGTCAGCCAATATGAGCTTGATAGGCAAAAGCCCTTGAGACCATGGTAACTAGTCCCTCCATACTATTCAGAAATGGATTATCTTAAAATCATCAACTTTAAAATGCTTTTCTGCAGTTTCCACTAATTATTACTATAATCCATAGCTATAGCTTTTCATTTACACACTATACAAAATATATATAAATAATCTTTTGAAGCTGCTTTTTAATGCAAATAATGTACTTTGAACTTCACTGACAGAACAAAAACTTCACACCATCCTATTTTTTCTCTCAAACAAGCACATAAGAACACATCATATCCAGATACACATACCTTCTTCATAGATTTTTCTGGTGGGAACTTTGAGGAGAAAGCTGAGAGGCCTGGTGAAACTTCACCTGGTTTGAGGTAACTTGTCTGAGATTTTTGCAACTTCTTTATACCATCTTGTAGTTCTGTTTTTGGTATCACAACACTCAAATGAATTTCACTGTACCTCCTCCCTAGAACAGAACGGAGCTGCATCAGAGGAGGATCAGGCTGAGTGTTAGGAAAATGTTCTTCACCAGAGAGCAGTGGGCATGCAACAGGCTGCCCAGGGCAGTGGGCAAAGGCCCAATCTGTCAGAGTTCAAGGAGCATTTAAACAGCACTCTTGGACATAGGGTTTCATTGTTGGGTAGTTCTGTACGGAGCCAGGGGTTGGACTCAGTGATCCTCATGAGTCCCTTCCAACACAGAATATTCTGTGATTCTATGACATCAGTCAGCTTGAACACATTCCACATGGCTGTGACAAAATCCCATTTGGTGCAGTCCAGTATGAACTTATAGCCCCACATCCTCCTTGAATCCCATGTAATTCGCCTTACCCAGTAATTGCTTTCAGCCCTTCAGACCTCAAACATTTGCTGCCCTACTAACCTCTTTGTTGAAACCTTGAAGCTGCTCTTAAAACTTGACCAAATGTGTGTGTTATAGGCCCAATATGCATGCATCCCATGTGATCAGCACATCTGCCTATATGAATAGAGTAGGCACTAATGCTAGACAATGGGATAACATGGGGATAACACAATGGGATGTGTGCCGATCTTAATGTGGAGAAGTGTTTCTCCTGTGACTGTGATATTCGGTGAGCCTTCGTGTCATATAATGGGGAAACCTTAATTTTGCTCACCTTTGGGGTACATTTCCAGATACAGAATGGGGAATGAGTATAGAGGTCCTGAGTACCACCCCTGTACTGTGTCTGGCACAGCCTGGTTGAATGACAGAGCACAATAGCCATCAAGCATTTCAAAACCACACATTTGTTTAATGCTAACCTTCATGCCATGATGCAGTTTCCTTGTGAATAATGTCATATTCCCATCCTCAAATAACACCTTTCTTTCTTCTTCTCATTTGCATTAAAATTGTCCAAAAATTGGGCAAGGAATTGACTATTTCAATCATGAAACAACATATAAGTGTTTAGTGCCTAAAGTGGCTGCCATAATTAGTGTTATTGAGTTTAGGCAATGATGATCTTTCTTTATCTGGTGAACGGAGAGGAGAAATATGAGCCAAATACCAGGAGAAATGGCAGGGCTTGTGAAGCACAGTGAGGGCCAGAAGTTTTTGCTGTGGTTTTCTACAGTTGCTGACAGAACATCTGCAAAGGTGGGGAGAAAGTCAGATAGACTTGAGAGCATCTGTGGGTTTAATGTAGGGGTATCATGCAGAGTCATGTAACCAAATGAAAGTTAATAGAAGGCTCATGTGTACTGAAGACCTGACAGGCAGAGTTGTGAGGATGCCCCTAGCCAACACACAGCACTGCTTATTTTAGGACAGAAACGTTTGGATTAGGCATGGTGATACACCCTGATGTTAGAGGTGTCCATCCAGGCAGTTTGGGGGTTTCATGGCTGTTGTGGCTTTTTCCCTGTGACAGAGCTGTCACAAACAAGGGCACAGGGCTACACCATGACCATGACCAAGAAGTGGAGTTTGACGTGGGAGGATAGCAGCTAGTAAGGGGTTAAAGTGTGGGACAGGAACATAACTGGACATTTACTTGGCACAGATGGAGTAGGGTCAGGGTGAGGAGCAGGACCCAGCCCCGCACTCTCCATTCCGCCAGCCCCACAGGTTGCCGCTGCCACGCTCACTCCCAGGAATGTGGGTGGGACTCCCTCCTCCCAGCGTGCTTTAAAGCTCAGTTCCGACAGCCAGCCAGCCAGACTCTGCTTGGAGGAGCGTCCTTGCGGCACCCACCCTTCCCTCCCCGAGCAGCTCGGGCTCACAGGTGCCCCAACAGCCCGGCAGGATGGTGGCGTGCAGCCTCGCTTGCTGGCGGTGCCGTTGGCTCCTGCCCCTGCTGCTGGGCCTGGCCATCATCATGGGTATCATCGCACTGGCAGGCCGGGGCTGGCTGGAGTCTGAGTCGGAGCCCTACGTGCACCAAGCGTCTCTGTGGGAGAGCTGCACGCGGGGCGAGCAGGACCTCAACTGGAACTGTGAATCTCTCATGGACTATGGTAAGCGGGGAGCCCGCCTGTCCCTCCGGGACCCTGTCCTCTGGTGGCTGCAGCTCAGGGGAGATAAGGCTGGAAACATTTGTCCAGCACGCACTGGCAAAGCGAAGGCTGTCAGCCCTTCTGTGGTGGTGTAGCTGCTGCCTGGGATGGGGCTTTCCAAGACAGAACCAGTGCTATTTCAGGGCCTTAATGAACAAAAAGACAGGACCTCAGACTGCTTTAGGCATCTTTCCTATCAGGAGTAAGGAACAAGGCTTGCTTTTTATTTTCTTTTATAACTGAAGTAAGAGAGCCAATTGGCCACAAGTCTGCTTTCAGCAGTTCTCTGTGTGTTGCAGAGCAGGCAGCCTCACACTACAGCACGCAGCTCTCTCGCTGACCCACTGCAGGAGAGTTCGCACTGGGCTTCCCTGCACCTGGGCAACAGCAAAGCTGCCCCCTTGCTAGGGGAAGGGGACCCTTAACCCTGCCTGGCTAAAGAATGCCTCCCGACCTGCAGCTTGGATTTGCAAATGGAAAACATGCAGCTTCCTGTATATATCTCCCTATTGCACTAAGTCATAAATCAGGGAGTAACTGTGCCTTGGCTTTATCTTACTTCACTTCTTTATATCTGGCATTACCAGTGTAATTTTCTTACCACATAGTCCCAGTTTGTCTTTCTCAGGGACATTCTGTTTTTATCTTCTTTTCTAGCTGTGGTCTGTTTTGCATCTGCTTTTCTCACAGACAGAATGTTTCGGGACAAACAGACACGCCCTATAGTCCTGGATGAGGGTACTTTGGGGACCACATCTGGAAGCTGGAAGGGACGGTTCCAGCCTCTACATGGGCGGCAGGGAGGCTTCCTCCCAGCACTGTGCTTGCCATTGCAACTCAGTGAAATCTGGAATGTTTTGCAAAAGCATCGCTATCATTTACCAGCCTGGTGGTTGCTGTAGGCCTTACTCTAAGTGGCAGAAATCTCGTTGTCCCACTACCCAGAGCCAAAATACTAGCACAGGAGAGTGGGTAAAATCTGCTTTGCATGAAGTGTCTGTGCAGTAGAGCTGCTGAGGTCTGCTTTCTCCTGCAGTGTCCCTGCCTCTCATCTATGAGTGATGAAGGGTGTGTGCCTTGTTTCAGCCTTGTGTCTTCTAGGGCAAGAGTGACTTTATGAAGTTTTCAACCGTTCTGTCAAAGGAGAATGGTATCCCTGACTGCTTATTTAACCTTAAGCAAGGCTCATTCAAATCCTTGGCTTAGACTGATTAACTTGGCTTTGCCTCTTCTCTCGCTTTGAGGAAATCAGGGCCACTGTCTGCTTAATGTCTATTTGCATCCAGAGACAGGATGTTAAATATGAGTTTGGGTTTGATTTGTTTCCATTTTTCTATGCTAATGCAATTAGACTCCAAGTAGGTGAGGGCATTTGCAAAGGAAGGAATGCCTAGCAGGCCTTCACAGCACTGCTGCAGGAAAGTAAATTAATTGAGGTGCACAACTTGTGTTTTGCATATGATAACTACTCCAGACTAACCATCTTGTTCCTCCAGATGAAAACAAAATTTCAGAGTGGTCCCCATTAGTAGAAAGCCGCATTAGACATCTTCTTAATTGAGCTGTGGCATATATGCTGGGAGAGGGAGAGAAGAAGCAGTTTGATCACTTACTTTAAATAGGAAAGAGGGGCAGGAACAGACTAACAAAGTTTTGCAAATAAGAATGTCTCCTACACTGAATTGCTTCTTAGTGAACATTTTAGAGTTCCCATAAGATAGAAAAAATAAAAAGGGAAAAATAAGAGTAGAATATCCTTCAGTAGGGAGGTGAAGAATGGATTTTGATTTGATATCTCTACTGGTTTGCACCTGGCAAGTACCTGCCTGTCAGTATCTGTGTATTTATTAACATGTTGCAACACAGAGCTGCCATACTTCATAATGTATGACTCAAAATGACTTTGTTTGGCCCAGTGCAGTATAAAACTGGTGACTGTGTTTGAAACATATCAGTAAGCCATCAGATATGAGGAAGATTGTTTGCAGCATGGTTGCATGGGGAGGGCGATTACCTTTGTCCAAACAGTGATGACCCTATATGTTTAGGGACAGTGTTAGTGGGCGACAGCATCTTCCAAGACCTCAATATCTGCTCCCAGTGACTTTTGTTTGAGTCCTCACAGTGAGGGATGGGTGTGTACTTGTGCAGTAAAAGTGGTTAACTCCTTCTTACATTCCTAACAGCTGGTTGGTATTCATTAAGTACACAATAGCTGACTTAGAAAAATGGAGGCATTCATCTGCATCCTCAGTAAGTGCCGGAAAAAAAAAAAAAAAAAAAAAAAAAGAGGTGGGACTCTGCCTCTATGAATCATGTTTCCTTGCTGCTGTGCCACTGTGCCCATGGCTCAAAGAACTGGACTTCGATACCACAGGTCGTTAGTGGAACTGTGTGCATGTGCCGCCTTCACCAAGGGGCCGGGTAAATAAAGGAGGAACATTACAGGTACATTCACCATGCCCTCGCCTCTGTTCAAGCACAGCTTAGTCTGATTTATGGTGGCAGAATGTGTCCTAGCAAACAAATGAGCAGGGTGAAGGCACTCAGAAGACACTAACAGAGAAGCAGCAGTCGGCATGGCTAGCTACACCCAGCAGATGTGTCTTGAAACTCCCCAGCAGCAGGACAGGCTTGTCTCCTGCCAGCAAGCAGGCACACCTTTACTGCAAGCAGCAGCAAGGCAATGAAGGCTGGAAACAAACAGGATTTTCCCTCTCCTGACTTTCAGTCAAAGGGCTGCAACCAGATTTTCATTTAGCATTTTGGTAGTATAGCAATTGGTATTTCCAGACTGCTAAAACCAAGGGAGAGCTGGGATACCTAGTGTTAATTCCTAGCAGGCTCTTCAGACAGTCCCTCAGTTCTGGGCTGCCCTGGGCTTGTGATGGGCGTGCACATACTTTTCCCTCACTGGTTATGGCGTCATGGAAATTTGAATGTTATGAAAGCAAGAAAATATTGCTGGCAGTGCTCTCTTGCTGGCAGTCCGCTACTCCTTTGTTTTGTCAACAAAGACATATTTTCTGGACTTTCCATGTTATGAGCTTTCAACACCAAAGAAAAATCGCTACTATCATTTATATACAGAAAACTGTTACAACTAAAACGTAAAACTGTCTCAACTAAGCATGTCATAGTAAAAACTTCTACCTGAAGATTCCAGTTATCCACAAGCTGATGAACCAGCTTCCAATTTGGTAAATAAGTGAACCAAGATGAGAAGGGTTTGTTACTTCATATCCTGCAGTGCTTTATCTTCCTGCTAGACTATTTTCTCAGTCCTTTTATTCATTTCTGCAGGGAAATCTCAATGTAAATGTCCTGTAGAGCTCCCATTTCTTCCCAACTGACGCTGAGCCAAATAAAATCAGGAAGTACAGCTAAAACTGAGACTTCGTGTTTGTATGTCATTATGTTTTCTTTTTAATTTCATCCTATTAATGATGCTCACCATTAACTTCAAGTAGTCCTGAACCATCCTAGTTATTTGCATGCTAACATTTGCAGCTTAGTTCTTTTGCATAGTCGTTATTAATTAAGCTGTATAATAAAACTCTGAATCTTTTCCATCAACTATAGCTCTCGTATAGGCTTTTTTTCTTCTTCCCAACCCCCTCCCCCCCCCAAAAAAAAGTTCTTTAAATACTTCACTGCTGCTTGGATGCAAAGAACTCTTCTTTGAGTAGTTACCTGGGTAACAGAAATACCTCAAACTGCTTGCATTACTGATCTCCCATTCTTCTGACTCTCTATTTATACAGCCCCAAATCACTTTGTTTGTATTGTTGTTTGATTTCATAAACAGATGTCATATTTATACCTGTTTTGAGTTAGAAATTGTATTAAATAAAGGAACCAGAGATTTTTTTATTTCTATGGCATATATAAATTCTGGCTATCTCTCTTGTGGTTACAAAGTTCTCTGAGCACAAGCCATCCAAATGTTGGGGCTGATCTGACCTTCTCAGACTGTCAGCAGATCTCTCCCGCAATTAAGGCAGAGACACAATATCTACCTCTGCCCCTGAAAGTTGGGTGCCACAGGTGAAGAACTGAAGCAGAGGCTCAGCAGCTTTTTGGAGGACGCAGAGCCAGAAAGCCTATCTTAACCAGCATGGGGATGATGGGGTTAACGTTTTTGAGATTTCCCTTCCACTGTATATAGCCACATGTTCCTGCTCTTCCTGGAATTCCCTTCAATGCTAATGTGGTGGGCTGGCTGTTCTGCAGCTGTTATCTTGTCATGCCCTGAGCAGATCAGTCCGTCACAGGGGCCAGCACCAAAGGCTCATCTTATCAGGCCTTATCAGTATTATCAGTGCTGATAAGTGCTGCAGGAGCAGATAACCCAGTGGGAGGGGGAAAGGTATGTGCTTGCCAGCACTGAATTTTGTTGCATGTGAGCACAAAAACTACTGTACATGTTCCAATGATGGTACTCACTGCTGCTCTGTTCCTGAAGATCTGAAAAAAGCTGGGTGTGAGAATAATGTTCCTGACCAGATATCTCCTGTAGCTATGTGGGTTATCACTTTCATACTGCCAGAGACAAGCAAATAAGTCACTGTGAGTGAGGCCAAGGCTGATGTATCCCAAAGCTTGTTATACTTGTAAACTAAGCACACAGAGCCTGGAAAGATCAGAGATAGCACCGGGGGCTTTGCAGCCTGTATCCCTTGCAGTCCTGTTTGTGCTGCAGCAAACATCAAGGCATCCAACTTGGATGTTGGCAGTTTTGGGTTTGCAATCGAACCTGCATGAGACAGATGCCAAGCCTGGCTCTCTGCACTGTGCCAGCATACATAGTGCATCTGTAGGGGAAAGCACTTTGATAACTAAGAATTCCTGGTTGCCCTTGTTACTGTTTTTCTCCTATTAGAGGAGATATCAATAAATAGCATTCCTAGTTTTAGTTTACTTTTCCTGAGCTGGCTGTGCGTAGTGGCTAAATATTCCTTTACATTCCTTATCCCTAAATAAATCCTTTGTGGAGATGATACCCAGTACCTGCATTAGGCATGTCAGATAATATTTTGAAGGAAAAGCTGTTACAGGACCACTGACACCACTGTCATCTCCAAAGGCCAGTGGGGTGTCCTCCCTCCCTCCTCCCCCTGCGGCACTCTCCTGGGGAAGGGAGACAAAACACGCAGGACTGGCTGCAGGAGGCTGGCAAGAACTGGTTTGAAAAGATTTTACTGTCTTAAGTAGCTCCAAGAAAAGCCTTTTGTTTACCCTTTCCATTCCAGCTTGACTTCATTCAGGAGGAGGTGGCGGCTGAGGGCTTGAGGCTGAAAACTCTCTGGTAGGGAGCAGCTGTGTTTCACTTCTGATTTTTGAATGGGGGGCAAGAGAAAAAAATCAGACTGGTCTCATGAAAACAGCTGTAAAATAATGCTTTGCTTTCAAATAGGAAATTGCTGTATGGAATAGAGGTATCTGTGATAGTTTTACTGTATTCTCTGCCTTAAATTACTATTTTTTTTTTATGTAACAGCAGATCAAGTGGGCTAATTGGATTGGGCTGAGGCGAAGGACTTCAGCTCTTCAGGAAAAAGTTCTCTCTTTTTTTTTTTTATTTAATCTTTTACAGGGAAATGACTTAAATTACAGAGGTCATGTGAAAAACAATGTTTCTCCAGAACCATTTCAGTCATACCGGAACAGACAGCTCTGACGAAAGGGAGATTTTTTTGTAAAATACTCTGGCCTAAATCTCACTGTTCCCTTTATTCCTATGTTAAAGGGATTTCAGGATCTGACCCTACCTATGTCTGAATGTGTGGAAGTCAGAACCTATGTTATGTGGACTTGGAAAGGGAGCTGTGGTGACAGCTCAGTGGAACCCAAGGACTGAGGTGGATATGATTACCCCTGTGGGCAGGTGTCCTGCCTCTAGGGCAGGAAACACCTGTGTATTTTGGCATTCACACTCAAACTCCTGGCACATTTTTAAAGAAAATGAGCTCTGCCACAGTGGGAACCTTTCACAAGCCTGCATCACTGCGAAATTTAAATCTCTGGCTGTTTCCCAAGGACTCTGTATAGTGCTCAGCCCCACCAAATCTCAAAGTAATGATTCAGAGGACTCTTTCACTGTACCTCTGACTGCACTACCTCTCCACCCATGATATTTTACCTATTACTAAGTCGTTTTGGCTGTGAATAGATATTTATCTTCAAGAGCATTCTCCTTGTTGTCGTGTCTCAGCTCGACTACTCCATGTCTGTTTTTGGTCATGCTAATGTTAATTCACATACAGAGTTCTTGTCATAAGCAAGCAGACAGGAAGCTGTATGGTGACAACATTATTATTTCCCAGCAATTCTCTCTACTGTTGTACCCTCGTCTGCTCTCATACTTTCCTGTGCATGGAAGTGGTTTTCTAAATTTGCATGTCAAAATGGAGTGATGATGATAAAGCACATTCTGACAGGTTGTGTGTACTTTCTGCTCAGAGATCTATAGATCTCCCACACATACTGAGTTTGGAGGTGTTATTGCCACTACCATGCTATGCTATGTCTCTCTTTTCAGCAGGACAAATTAGCAGGCAGAGTGTTCAATGCTGCTTCTCTGATGATCATGTCTCTCTGCAGCTGTGCACTTTGGAGACATTCAATGTTGCTTTGGCATAAAGTATGCATTTTACAGTAAAGCATTTCAACAAAGAATGACTAAAAGGAACAGAAGACCTGCAGTGACCTACAGCTGAGTGCACTGCTGCCTGTGACACCTTTCTTCTTTTCTTTTCAAGGATGGGGGAGAGCAGCAGCTGCTACATACCTCGTTGGCTTTGTGATCCTGGTCATCTGTTTCGCCCTTGCAGTCATCGCATTCTCAATTGAAATACTTCGCTTCAACTTTGTGCGAGGAATTGGAGGCTTGCTTTTTGTTGTTGGTAAGGCTGGGTGCAAAGATAAGGTTGCATTAGATGTAAAACAGGCATGAGCAGAAAAACATGCTAGATGGAGCCTTCCTTGTGAAATAATCTGTCTTTGGTTTATGACTCATTTTCATGGAAAATGAGATATTTAACCTGTGCCCTGAGTGTAATCAACGAGTTCCCAAAAACAGTGCATGGGGGCAGCCAACAACTTTGACCCTGCAAGTCACATATTAAGGCTTCAAAGCCAGCAGCCCCAGGCCTTCCATTTTCCCAAGGGAGGGAGGAGCTGTGGGTATGGTAGAAGCAGGAGGTGACTGCCCCATCAGGACAGACACCTGGCTGTGGGATAGGGCTGTTCTGGGCACACGTGAGTACCTCAGTGAGGCAGCAGTGCCAGCTGCAGCTGCCACTAGGCAGCTGGGGACCTGCCCAGACCAGGAATCATGCACTGCTGCAAGAATGGGACTGGAGCTAATTCTTACGTATGTGAATGGGCAATGCAGTTATCTCAATATATCTTTTTTTAGTGGGGAACGTAACAGCAGCATTCACTGTCATTTACTCTTGGCATTCTTTGCTTTCTTTCTTTAGCTGCATTCCAAATCATAGGGCTGGTCATCTATCCAGTGAAATTCACAGAAGAAATTCCACTGATGGGAGCTAATATGTTCAGCTGGGCCTACGGTTTCGGTTGGGCCAGCACTGTTGTTGTGATAGGTTGTGCTTTCTTCTTCTGCTGCCTCCCCAACTGGGAAGATGAAGTCCTGGGAAACATCAAGCCGACATACTACTACTCCTCCCCAGATAGAGCACCATACTTAAATTGAAAAGTTAAATCCAACAGCAATCAACCGTCAAAGCAATAGAAGAACACCTTTGCTGCAAATGTTGGTGCAATTATGAGAGACTGAAAAAAAAACCAACTCAAAACCTTACCTTATTTTTTCAGTATATTTCTTACAAGCACTGGTTAAAAAAAAAAAATTAAAAACCATTGGCATCTGTAAGCAAATAACTTTTACCTAAAGTATTATTTACATATTCTCATGTCAGTTCTGTTCTGGTGGTTTACTTACTCCTTTCCCTCCCAACTGAGTCATCCTTATTTTATTCAAATATATCCTTACAAATAAAGATGTAGCTTTGCAAGCTGGAAAGGAGGAGAGATTTTAAACAACCCACAGGGGGGACCTGCAAGTTATTTTATTTTTTTCACCTGTGACAAAATGGCTTTACATAGAATTAGGAAAAAATAAAATCCTTCCAAAGAAAGCTTTTTCTTCTGCCAAAAATCGGTCCAAAGGAAGGAACTTTGCTGAGTCTTTTACAGTCATATGCTGCCTAAGAATCACTTCTTGTTCCTGTTACTGGACTATTGTTGACTATTAAATGTATGAACTGAGGGGAAAATAAAATTTATTTTTTCCACCATCTGTTGCAGTTAAATGGAGCCAGTGTGTATAACTGTGGCTAACATACTGGAGTTTTTGTGGCCACTGCAAGACATGCTACAAAGACATATGTAATTAAATATACATTGTCACAGAGAGAACAAATAAATCTTCAGATGTTAAACTGTGTGCATTATTACGTGGTACTTGGGAGATTCTTGTTTAAAAAACACTTTTCAGTAGAAACATATACTGTTCTTTATGCCTGCCCTTTTAAAACTGCAATTTTAATTATCAGACATGGCTTGGAAGGAAATCTTAGCACGTGCTGTTGAAAACCTCCAGAAGTTTCTAAAATTGACTGAGGGGCCTGGGGACTTGTAAACCTGGGAATGCTTTGCGAGTCGCTAGAGATAACTGATATAAATAGAAAAGCAGGCTGCAAGCAATATCTGTCTGAAAACTTTATACAGACACGTTTTGGGGAGTAACCTGCTGCACTCCCAGCTTGTCTTTTTGGAGCCAGTGACTCCAAGTAAATTTTCCAGTGAGACAGAGCCATGGCTGCATCTGCCATGGACTGGCAGCAGCTTGTGGCATAATTAATTGAGATCTGTCAGGGCTTTCCTAGGCTGGGGAAGGCAGCAGTTCCTCTGCCAGCTGTGGGGGCAGAGATATGTTTCTGAGAAGGCTGTAAGTGCGGAGAAAGGTAAATGCAATGTTACAGGGCTGCTTTCCCCTTATTGTAACCCCAGTACTTCAGAGAGAATGTATGGGTATATGTATTCATACACACATACAAAATAGAACTTATGAAGTACTAAATATCCTGTAAATGTAAACTAATCCTGTAAAACTAAGTTGTTTAGAACTAAGCTTTTTCTATGCTCTGTATGTCTTGGTATTATACTTTGTTTAATATTCCACTTCATAACACTTTTCTGATTCCATAACTCTGCATTTTGTATGTGTGTATGTCTTAAGGTCCCCTGCAGGCCTGTATTTTATAATTTCATGGAGCATAAATACCTCCAGGCTTTAGAACTATGTTAAATGCTCAGTCATGCACGGCACATAGAATCAACAGTGTTTGCAATTCCTGCTGAACAAGAGAACCTGTAAGAAATGTGTCTTTTTTGTTTCCTCCAACCTCCCCTCCCCCTGCTCTTTCTGTAAATACAGGGGGGGTATACTGGATAGATATCTGTGTTACAAATAATAATAATAGCACCTTTCCAGTAAATCCAAAACACTGAAGAGAATCTCAGGCCTGGAAAGTCCTCGCACAGCTGAAGCTGAGGAGAAAATGACATAAGGAAATGGACGCCCTAATGAGAAGAACAATTATATGGGAATAGGGCTTAGCATAATCTCAGCCTTTTGCATTTTTTTTTTTTTAAAGCATTAAAAAAAAAAAAAGCACAAGTGTAAAATAAACTTGGTTCTGAATATAGTGGGTGGAAGCATAAGCAGCACGTTGTGCAATTTAGATGTAACTAAAGTGATACTAATGTATGTGACATTCCTTTCAACTGTTGTGGCTTAATTAAAACTTTTAATATATAGGTGTAAAAACTCAGTGTTGTTTCTATTTCATGAATTCATCTCATGAACTCAAGAAAACAGCCATTCTTTTTCTCTCTTAGTGTGAACTACAAAACATATGAACCCTTGGCTTTGAAAGACAGTATCTATCTAGGAGGCAACAATAACATTTTCCAGTCAAATAAGCTTGAGTACGCTCTGCAAAATGCATATGTGCTTTCATCAGACATACCTGGCATAGAGAACTCTTGGCTAAGCCAAAAGCTTCAGGAGGAACACCAAATGTTTAAGCATGTTATGGTGCAAAAGGGAACAAGATAAAAATCACACGTGGTCAGCTTGTCCTTTGTAACCAAAACTGACAAATAATTTTGTACATTGATCTAGCACAGTCAGCAGGAGGACAAAGATTAAATACTCACATAGCATATTTAGTGGAAAGCTGCATCTCTCTTGTGACTAAAAACCTTCTCATTTCTAACCTCACATTATGCATGGCCCATAAGTAGCCCTATACTACACATACTGAGCACAAAGAACTTTCCCTCTGTCTTTATACAGATTGCAAACCCAGTGCTGGCCACTAGTTCATCAAATCAGCCTGGGGCTTCTCATCTCTAGAAAACCAGGTTCACCATCCTCCCAGTACTTTAGCTGCTCTTTTCCTTATATATCTTAACTTTAAAGCACATCTACCCACTTTGGATTCTAGCTACTTCCCATCTCCAATCTATAACATCTCTTAGTTTTACAGACCCAATTTGACAAAATACTTGCTTTCCTACTTCAAATTATTCCAAATAGAGTAAAAAAACTAGCTTATACTGTACCCATTATTTAACACAAAGAAGACTTTTACCCTTGCTTACCTACTAGTCTGTAGTCTATAAAAGTGGGGGAAAAAAAAAATAATAACAAAAAACACACACACCCAAACACTAACTCTCAGGCTGCAGTCTGTCCTTCCAGCCCAACACACACACAGCTGTACTCAGGGGAGTGAAGAACAGTCAACAGTTCATGTGATTGGCTGCAAGAGAAGGTCAACTCAACTCAGTGAGTTGATGGGAACAATTAAATCTCATCGATATGGGAAACACCTGCCACACCTCACTGAGATTTAGTGTTTTCAGTTGATATAACAGGTGAGCTATCTTTTAGGCAATTACTTGATGAGATGGAATTCTTGAGAAATATTCACCTGGCATTTACTTCTCACAAAAAAAAAAAAAAAAAAAAAAAAAAACGGCGGGGGTGGGGGGTGAAGGAAAAAAAAAAGAATTAAAAAGAGTTGCTGAGAACATGATGCATTTATAAATTAATGATGAACCAAGCACAGATGTACATCAGTGGAAACCACCATGCTTTAGAATGTTCACAGGCAAAAGAGCTGAGTATTGGTGCCACAGCACAGAGCAGTAGAGGTTGCTGGCAGTAAGGAATGGTAATCTGAAAATACGGGATTTTCAGTGCCAGTGGGTGAGTCGGTGTAGATTTTGAAGTGAAACTGTAAGCTGATACAACCAGAACAAAGCACAATCAAATATGGTTCCCAAAGGCAGGGATTTCTGGCTGAGATTCCTATAACAAGTATGTGTGCGGGTATAATAAAATCTGGGTTCAGTTCACGTGGGATGTGCCAGCATCACAGCACAGGTGCAGCAGTCACTTGTGTAGATTTGATGGACCAAGGACACATGGACTCAGCTATGCATGTGCAGCAATACATTCCCTGTGCAGGTCTGCAGCAGTGCAGTAAGCAGCACTTGCATGCAATTTGCTGGTATCCAAAGCTGTGGGCCTAGGTGCTTCTGGCTATGGAGCTCCACATCCAGAAATTTCAGGGAAAAAAACAATGCCTTCAAATTTTTCTTGTATACAATTATATTTAAATGTCTTAGGAATTGTCAAAATAATCAAAAGATTCTTTTTTTACAATGATTTTTCAATAGCTAAATTTCATAAGGCTGAATTTGTAATAAACATTGTAGTGGAAAAAATGCAGGAGTGTCTAGGGCTCTATAATATAAATAATATAAATGCAAATAATATAAATAAATGATAAAGTATGATAAGAAATATGCATTATCTGACATAAATAATGAATGTTAACTTCTCCATGGACAATATTTCTCATGGGTATGTCTTTTCAGGATTGGATAATATTTACCAGAAGGATTGGTATGACTGTTGCCTTTTATTTATTTATGGCAATGAGGCCAACGCATACCATTTTCCATAACACTCTTTGAGAATATGGAAATGTCTTGTAAGTATTGAAAATTGCAGAGCATTGGGTGTGTACATTGGAAATCAGAGTTCCCGGAGACACAGACAGCTGAGAGAGCTCAGACAGGTTCAAGATGAGATCTCACATGGGAAACTGTGAACCCAAGAGCTTGAGCCTGTTCATGCCTGCAGCAGCTGAACATGCGGGTTAAAATAACTATAACAAGCAAAGACAGCGTGCAAATATGAAAATGCTGATAGCAGACTGGAGTTTTCTTTTCAGCCTGCTTCCCAAGGACACTCCATATCAAGTACTTGAAAATGAAAGTCATTTCTAGGTAACATTTTGTTTTCAGTGAAACCCCACTTTTGACTAAAAATTTCAAAGTGGAAATTCACAGCTGAAACTCTTCAAAGTATGTTTGGTATGCATGTCTTATCTGTGGAGCTGAGTACTTACAGAAATAGCTGGTGCTGTTCCCTATTGACCCATAAGGCACAGTAGATGAAGCCATTTCTTTGTCAGAGAAATGTAAGTAGCAAGGGAGTGGCGCCTGGGAATTACCTGTATGAGGCTGGTTTTACTTCTCTTCTAAGGCAGCTGACCTGTATGATCTGTAAGGAGTTACAGTTATGATCTACTATGTTGGGACAGCTATTTAGTTTGTCCTGGTATGCCACAGGGAAGCTGTGGTCCCCCAAAGCAATCACTTAAGTAAAATTATTAATGTAAAAGAGCTGACTCCTGACAGCCACACTAAGAATCTGCAGATCTCCACACATGGTTATAAATCTTTAGGACCTGACTGTAGGTGTGTGGTTGTTTTACATGACATCATTGATTACAACTGGTGGTGTGGGAGGAAAGCCATGCTCATCTAACCTCTGCAGAGCATTGGTAGGAAGTAACTATGGATGAAGACTCAGAATCACACAATATCCCATGTTGGACGGGACCTTTAAGGACCACTTCCAACCCCTGGCTTTACATAGCACTACCCAAGATTTAAACCCTATATCTGAGATCACTGTCCAAAACCACTGCCCTGGGGAGCCTGTGCCATGCTCATCACCTTCTGGTGAAGAACTTTTTCCTAACATCCAGCGTGACCCTCCCCTGACACAGCTCCATGCCATTCCCTCGGGCCCTGTTACTGCCAGCAGAGAGCAGAGCTCAGCACTGTCCCTCCACTCCATGCAAGCAGGTCACCATGAGGCCTCTGCTCTGGGCTGAGATGATTTATTCCAGCACAAAGCCCTCCCTAAAGAAAGCAAGTTATTTAACAAAAACTGAGAACAAAAGGCATGCTCAGACAAAGAGATTTTACATTTGTAAATTACCAACAAAAATAACAAACATGGGTGCAGCCTTACGTTCACAAATCTGCTGTTAAAAACTCCTATTACCATAGTGTTTTTGTGTGTATAACTTTGCTCAGAGAAGAAAAAGTCTGTTACAGAATTGTACATTTGTCTTGTTGAGGGAGGCCTAGCAAGCATCATGTGGGACAGGCTTGGGAGGTCAGACAGCATGTCAGTTCTAGATGGCTCTTGCTAAAGGTCTTCAGAAAATTCATGCAGATTTGTCTCCAAGCTCAGGGCCAGCAAGCAGAGGAGGTCTCAAGAAGAGCTTTCCTGTGCTGCTGTGGGAGTGAGAGGGGGCTTTCCTAGCTGTGTGGCAGCAAGATCCAGTACTGGCCATTGCAAGGCCACCCCCCCATGTCACCTCAGAACCCCTGCGTCCAGCTGCTGCAGGAGCGTCCTTTGAAATCCCCAGCATATGGGAAAAACCTAAAACCAGGGGCTTGGCTTAGTGAGGTGAAAACCTGGAAGCATCTGAGAGGAGCAACTAGCAGCTTTTCCCCAAGAAGGGCAGTTGAGAATAGATCTGAACCTCTCTTTGCTAGGGGTTCAATCATTTCCCCAGTGCTCTGCTTGTTTCGGTTTGAGTTCTGCGTACTAGTGCTAGCCTTCAGGCAGCACCTTCAAAACAACAAGATTTCAGCTGTCTTCAACTTTTAAAGTAGGTGTTCTTATTTTACAATGAAGTAAAGTTTAGTCCTGTTCAAAATACAGTTTTCAGTATTCTTCTAAAAATGAAAAGAAAAATTGCTTTGGATTATCCTGTGAACACTTTCATATCTAAAGGTACTTTTCTGATTGTCCTTATCATGGATGAAGTATAAGTAATACTGAGAAAAGAGCCTGTGTCTATTGCTTTGGTGTAGAGGTGATGCACAAAGAAGACCACAAGGAATGCTTTAGCCTAAGCATTATTTTGCCAAGTTACATCACTCTGTGAGTTGATTTTATAAGAATAACTGTGCTTGTAAGGGAAGATGTGTTTGGCTCTGAAGAGTAACAACTGATTGACGTTATCAGAAAAGAAGGACCCAGGGTTGTGAATGGATCAATAACAATAACAACAATTGCCATATGATTTATAATAGTTCATGCAGAAAATCTTTTTCAGTTGCTCAGGGTAACTTGTCAGATATAAGACAGCACATGAGGGAATGCCTCATAAAATAATTTCATCAAGCTTTTGAAAGAAACAGGTCTGGAGAGTTGTTCATAGGAAGTATGGATGCCACCAAATGAAAATGCTCTTGCTGCAAAAGTCATGAACATGTCCCACGGCTGATAAGTCCATGTCATTCCACAGTCATAGATATAGATAACGTTATATGAAACATGGATGGAAATGTTCTCTCAATCCTTTGTTGGCTTCTCCTCTAACAAAGAAAATCATCCGTGTCATACCTGAAAGGGACATACTGTTATTTTTAGCTTTAGTGTCTTTAAATTGTTTGTATTACCAATATCTTACTTCTTACTTGATTACTTCAATAGCAGTGAGAATTTGTTAAGAATATTTTGAGGTGCAGAAGGTACCCTATACTCTAACAACTTTCTCATTGCTAGTACATCTTTATTTTCAATAGATGATGCTGGTGTTTTCTCTGAGGGACTATCTACAGGCAATCGAAAAACAGAAGAACCATGTGGTTTCACAGAGCTTATACACTGCAAAACACAAAGGCTGTTGTGGGCAAGCCATCACTTCAAATCACAGACTGTGCAACAGAAGTTTTCAATCGTTTTTCCCTGTTTGCCACAGGAATATCAGAATTACATGTGATACGTCATTTTGCCAGCTTTGAATACATCTTAATCTCATTTGTCCCACATGTCACAAATTACTCTTGTACTGAACGTGAGCATTGCTTGTCATTTTAAGATACGTAAGGATGACAAAGATGGGCAGGGCATGGGAACACCCTCTGAGACTGAATGCTGCTCATCTTTCTTTCATAATAATATGATTAATGTGTTTTGTGGTATCATCCTGCAAATGCTAACTTTTCTGACAATATGCCTTCATACAAAGGTGCGTTATGACAAAGTGATGACAAATCCTTCAGTCATAAACAGCTACCTAAAAGATGGCTGAGCACACAATAAATAAGGGAAAATCGTTTTATTTTGCAGTGTTGCTTTATCTGAGAAAAAAAGGCCAAGTTTATAGAAAACTGATGCTATTCTTGAAAGATTGAGACTTGACAAGAGACAAGATACAGACAGCTCAGCAGTCTACTGCCACATGCATGAGTGCTTTTGAAGTCATCATTCAGAAACCACCTATCATCCAAATCCAAATCTTTGTTGTCTCTTTTGGAGATTTTGCGACTGTTTTTACTTCAGCCGTGGTAACAGAAGGAATGTTTAAACAGATGTGGACAGGTTGCAGGTACCAGCATGTTGCACTATGGCTGAGCTTCAAATAGTAGCTGTTTTAACGTATATATAAAAATTCTGTGCACAAAAACAGATGTATTGTAGCATGTTAGAACTGATAATTAACCTTTTAAGCATTATGTTCAGATTAAAGATAACTGAATTTGTGGCTTGTAAAAACACAGCCCTCAAGGGCTTCCTAAAGTGTGCATTATAAAAAAAATTTCATTTTTCTTGAGATTGTCCTTTCTTTCTTTCCCAAAACAGCAGCTGAGATGTCATGATAGTTGGCTTTTGCTTTAAGTGACACTTAAATTCAAATGTCAAGTCTGTAGAGACATCTCCTGCTCTAACAGAGACCTGTCAAACCCCCTTTACAGACTCCTCACAACCTCCAAAACACGGTCTATGACTTTACTGCAGGAAGCCAGTGCCAGAAGGCCTCAGCTAGCCAGATCTGCGCCAGTTGGAGAAAGAGGGGCAAAGTAGCTGCACCACTGCTGATCTACCACCAGGCTAATCAGATATCTCTGCTTGTAGATAAGACATGGTGTCACACTGACACATTCAAATTGCTCTCATGATGGAGCTAATGCTTCTTCACTGTGCTGCAGTTCACTGGTGTGGATGTTGCAGTTTGGGTCTATGCAAGCTCAAGACCTTTTTGTGCGCCCTCTTGTACAGTGCATTAATTCAGTGTAAGTTATGAATTTACTTCATATTAGTTCATTACTAATTTATTAATATTAATTCAGCAAAATGATGTGAAATTTGTGATTTAGCATTGATGTCACATTTCATCAAGAAAGTTGCAGTATAATTAGAAATCTTCATGAGTACATCAGGTCTGGGCTTGGATGCAGACCTGGCTGACAAAATCCACAAGGGGAGCAAAGGACACTTTGCATTCTCTGTGCTTCACCATGTTTCACAGAAAACAGCTTCAATCTGCAAGTGGTGCAGCTGCTTTCAGATGTACGGGCAACCAAAATACCGGGCTGAGGCACATATTAGTTCAAAGGGAGAGCTCTGTGGGCTGTATTGCTTGTGAGCTGCCTGACAGACAAACCTGGAGCAGGTCGCAGGGAGGCTGTGGTTCATCTCTGTGTTGCACTTCCAGCACATCGCAGGCAGGCTCAGGCAGGCCCTGAGCATCATGTGCATGGATGGATCCACGTGCAGACTTCCCAAGGCACAGTCAAACCAAAGCCTCAGATTCATTCTCCCACAATGGCTATACCCTTACTGTACTATATTCTGAATGATTAATTCCCATGGTGTTTTCCCTCCTGCAGCTATGTCCATAAAGGATAGAGAGGACACTTACAAGCTCTTTCTTGTTTCTGTTTAATAGAAGCCACAGGATTTTTTTTAATTGATTGTCAAAGATAGCTATCATTCATTTTTAAATAGAAACCAAGAAAAGCAGCTTTCAACCTGTATATGGCAAGTTCCAGAAGAAGCCACTGCCCTCCAATGCAAACAGTTGGCTAGGTTCCTGCATTCAGCTGCCCTGATTCAGGAGCTCAGCTATGAGATACTCCTTCTGCTAGGGAGAGACAGGAAGGAAAGTGTTAAACGCCGAGGGTGAGCAGCACCCGCTTTGTTACCGAGTCAGCAGAGCAGAGCGGATCCCACAGACAAACCCAGCCTTGCAGCCTCCCCTGGCCCAACTGGTTATTGCTCTGCAGTGGCTCTTACTCATTTGAATTTAGGTGGAGCTGCCTACCTCCCTCCCTCTCGTGTCTGTCCTGATTAAAAAGCTTTTTTTCAGACAGCTTCACGGCGGCTGGCAGGTACGGGTGCTCCTACTCGGGGCGTTTTGCAGAAGTACCCTTTACTTGGTGCGGCTGGGTCAGTAACAGAGTCAGCTCTCCGTGCTCTTCCAGCAAGATGGTGAAGTACGGCCTTGACTACACTCGCTGCAGATGGATCCTACCCCTGCTCCTGGGCATTGGCGTTATCTTTGGCATCATTGCACTGGCGGGCAGGGGCTGGCTGGAGTCACAGACCTTGCCCTATGTGCACCAAGCGTCGCTATGGGAGAGTTGCAGCAGGCCTTCGCAGGGTGGGGAATGGAACTGCGAGTCTCTCATGGGTTATGGTAAGCATTGGCAAGGGCGGCGGGGAGGTCTCTGAAGCAGTGGGTCGCCTTTCCAAGCACATCTCCCCTAAGCTCTCCCAAACATTTCTCCTAATATCTGACCTTGTTTAAGAAGCTGTGGGAGATGGGAACCGGTGCTGAAATACACCAATGCTTTTGAGAAACAGAACAAAGACAGTGTGTCCTCACCTCTGTGCAGAAAGAAACCTGGGTGCTTTAGATCGTGGTTTGCATAGTACAATAAACACACATGGTAGTGTATGAGTGCAGGAACTGCTATGGCATTTAAGACTTTATTCCTCTTTTAGAAGAAGCCAATAACCTTTCCTCACTAATCACAACTTTCCACAACTTAACTACTGCTGAACAAATGTCCAGGCAGCAAGTTGTGGGGGAAGACAATCTTGAGTGTCAGGAAGAAGTTGGGAGGTAAAAATGTATGGTACAAAGATGTCCCCAGGGAGTGTCAGCCTGTAGAATGTTGCTCTAGTAGGTGGGTCGTGTGAATGAACCTTTCCATGATTATGAAAGAAAGCTTTGAGAGAAGAAAAGATTTATACTTGCACTGAACTTTGGCTAACTGTGCTATTAAACAGGATGACACAAACTGAAAAGTTTTAAACCACTGTGTCTGGGAGACTAAGCCAAGAGAAGGATCATTCTAATTATGATCTGTTTCTTAGTTGTTTTCTGTATATCTGGTACGTGTCACAGTCTAAAATAAGTTATTGACTGTTAGCCTGAGCCAGGAGAAACACTTGAGCTTATGATTTATGCTGGTACTAATTCAAACTTTAAGGGAGAACATTTTCTCTAAAGCTCAGAATCTCAGCTGCTTTGGCTGAAAATTAATGTAAAACCACTTGTAGATGCAGTCTCAGAGGCTATTTATTACAGCTTTTTAAAATTGTTCTAAAAATGTATCGTCTATGTTCAAATTTTACCTCCTGTGCCCAAAATTGAGCTGTAAAGATTTAACTGTAGCGGGCTTATGTGAATATAGGGCTCCAGGATAAAACTGGCTCCATCAAGCTTCTTGCCCAGTCCTGCTCTCAGTGCTTCTGTGTCAGCTGTTTGGCTGGGATTAAGGCAGTTTGTTGGTTGGAGAGCAGGAGATGGTGATGCCCAGCTCCAAATATGTGTTCATACTGTGAACTGTGGGGGGGAGGGAGGGAGAAAGGCCTGATGTTTCTTACTTAGTATCACCAAAGGATGAGTCCTCGTCCTGCTGTCCAGCTGGCACTGTCTGTGTCACGAATGCCCGTTTTAGCTAGGCAGAAAATTTTCAGAAGTTTCACCATGCTTCTCTTGATAATACAGATGTTTCCAGGTCCTACATGGTTGTTTGGCATTTCACTTCCTTCCTTATTCTGCCTCATTCTTACATGTTTAGATTCTGCAGCTGTATGCAGTTTCCCACTGGGAAGCATCTAAGGACAAGCCAGGTAGCTCACCCTTCTCATTTTGGACTATCCCACCACCTATGGAGTTGCCACAAATGACAACCTCAGTAAGTCCCATTTTTCTAACATGCTGGACTTAGGACATACATTTCTCCAGAATATGCTCCAGCACATGCTCTGAGGAGTCATCTGACAATCAATAATAATAATAAATCAATAGAAATGCTGTTTGTATGCTGCATGGTTGCAGCACACTCTCAATGGGCATGCACCTGCCACTTTATCTCATTAAAGACCCAGAAAGCCCAGGCAGATGCTCAAAATCTCCCTGGAAAAAAAATCCCAAGTGGAGAAGAAGAACATGGCTGAGATAGTTGTTTAGCCAATGGGACAATAGGTAAGGCTTGATGTAAAAAATAAAAATAAAAATAATGTATGTCGACCAAGTGACAGTGAATTTTTCTTTTCAAGATGATGACCTTCCAATGTAAATCTAGGCCGTTGCAGGTGTGGTTACCCCAGAGTGGTGGGAGGACTGTTAACTTGCCTACCATGGTGAAAAGTCACTGTCGTGGTCTTTTCCAGCCCTGCAAATGCGGGTCCGTACTCTGTCCTAATCCAAGCATGGTGCTGCGGCACTGTACTGCAGAGCTGTTGTCCTTGTGTTTTATCCTTCTGGTTATGTGATTTTCCTACCCATTGTCTGAGAACCAGCACCTCATACAAGAAGATCTGGGCTGAGCCCTCAGGCTGGAGAGGACCCATGTCCTTCCCTTCTCACACAGGTGTGTTAGCAGGTGTGGTAGCATCTGGAAACACCATTTTCTTTGCTACTTCAGGATACCTTTATGAAACACAGAAGAGTAAGGAGGGATTGCAGTTTCTTTTCTCTTTTTTTTTTTTTTAATTGAAAAGCAAATGTAGCCAGTTGCATGTCTCCGAGGACTGGTCTCAACTTTGGGCCCTGAGCAGATGGAGGTGCTTTCTAGGCAGATTTCCTTCAGGCTGCTTATCTCCAGAGGTGGGGAGTGTTCAGATCCAGTTCTGCCCACTGTACTTGCTATCATTCTGTCCTTGCTCAGTAGGTGTGGTGTTGGGATATCTCTTCTGAGAGCCCTGTCATTGCTCATGTAGCATGCAAGTGCCTGGTGCTCATCTTGGATTCCACTCAAAAGGCCAGACCATGTAACAGCATCTCGCTTGGAAGTACACTTTGTAAGCATACATCTCACTTGTTTTGCATTAAGACTGATTTTGTATGCCCTGCTGCTAGAACATAAGTTTCTAATAGGTTCCATTTATCCACAAGGTCACAGAAAACAAGCATTCAGTGTCATGTTCTGTAGATATTTATCTTTCTTTTGTGCCAAGCTAAACACCATGCTTGATAAACAAAGTGTAATTACACGCCTTCCTGAGCATGGAGACAAAAGACATGATGTAAATAGCAAGGACAAGAGTATTTTACATTTTCTAGAGATTAATACTTTCATCCCTCCCTCTATCTCACAGTTCCTGTTTGCTTTCCTCTGGGCTTTATTTTCAGCTTCCAGATCTGGGTAGGTTCTGACATTCAGTCTTACTGTGGGGCTAGTTTCACTGACATACATAATACGCATGTCTACAACAGCGACTGTTAGTGAATATGCCCAACATGGCTTGGATAGTAAGATATCTTAATCCACCACAGACATCTTCATCTCATTAAAATTAGATCTAATCATAAAGGTCTTGCAAATCGTTCAATATAGTGTGCAAATTCAGATCAATTTTTCCACCTACAATGTCTATAATACCCCTGCATCTCTGCTGCTTACCTTAGACCAAAAAAAAGTAATATTGAATATTCTTGAGGTTGGTCATGTTTGAAGGAAAGGAAGCTGAATGTTTCATTGTCACTTCAGTGGCACCATCAGGAACATCTGGAATCTCCTGAATTGTTCAAGCTGACAGAATTCAGAATGTCACAGGGAAGACAAGAGGCCTACACAGTGGTGCTTTTTTGGAAAGCTAGAGTAACTGCTTCATTGGTGCATTAAGCTTCTGTGCACTAGACTGTTACAAAGACTTTGTGGATTGGTAACAGGCATAATATGAAATGTAAGTATTTGGGACATGGCTGAGCTTGCAAAGTGCAGAAGTTAAATCCCTTCATGAAGCTGCCATGGCACTCCTTTGTTTTCCTTGATTTTTTGGCTACATCCCTCTCTTGTACAAGGTGTGTCTCAGACCTGAGACCGTTTTTCAATGTGTAATTTATTCCACTGCAGGCTCTGAAGATGTTTAAACATGTGTGTTCTTGGTTGGGAGGAATAACTGATTTTATTAATCTCAGTATGATGCACAATAAGATGAAAAACTTAGCGGTATTTGTCTCATCTCACGTTTTACTTGTCCCTGCAGCCCTTGTGTGTGCAGATCCTGCCCTCAAAGTAACTGCAAGCTCAGGCCTCTAAAGTAGTTGACTCATTTGGATGGTGCAAATAGAAGTCTTGGAAAAATGTTAGGAAAAAGCATTTTTGCGTGACAAATGAAATCCCGATCATCAATCATTTTCGCATTATAGTATCCAAACCCAACCTTTTCGTACAATGTTTGGAGTTTATTGCCTGTGGAGAGTAGGAGAAGGTTGAATGATTTTCCCATCTGGAGAGGACACATTTCTTCGCCTTGTTTTCCTAGATAGTGATTAACAATGTTCTATCTCACTCCAATATTATTTTGGACAATGAACGTTAGTGCAATACTGCAAGATCAGATGTCTAGCATAGTACAATAATAGATAAACATTCGTTCAAATATGGCAACAGATGATTATGTCTACAGTGTAAGTGAAGATAGGGAATGTTGCAAAAGGCATTCCCTTTTTTCACTCAAAGAAATAAATATTCTATAATTTCACAAGGACCATACTGATAAGTAGATTTTCTTGTCTGTTTTGCCTTATCAACCTCTTGGATCCAGAGAAGCTTTTGTCACACTGAAACTCCATTTAGTATTCCAGAGGCAGCATGCATGAGTGGAAATGACTTGCCACCTCCCCCTAGCTAATGATACAGCGGTGAGGTATATGGCCTGGCCCCACATCTTCTGGGAAATTACCTTCTTCAGCCAGTGACTCATCACACCTAGGGCACAGGACAGACCAGACAGAAGTTTCCCTGCTGTTGCACTGCCTACATAAAATTATTTTGCTTTCTCCCACGTGCCTAGCAGGGCTGACAGCCAGGCACAGGGAAGCCCTTGCTTGGCTCAGGCTCAGGCAGGTACCCTGAGGAGAACGGTACAGAGACATTTCCAGAGAGCTGGACTGAGACACAGCCCACCCTAACAGGATCTGAGAGGAGAAGCTGGCTGTCCCGATTGTTGCTTGGCATACAGGGGTGTATGCACGTAGAAAAGGAGTGAAGCAAGCATATAATTGTGCTTTGAAGCAGGGCCTGTCTCAAGTCAAAGGGCCATTGTTGCAAACCTTCCCTGAAACCAAAGTTCTGCGCTTAAACTCTTCTAGATGATAGTGATATTCTGATAGATTTGTCAATGTGCCCCTAAATATGGGAAACAAAGGCTGGGGAGGTTTCTGATCAGTCCAAAAAA